CCTGAAGCGGGAGATGAATTGGTCAAAGCAGGCTGTCAGGTCCCCTTGCTGTTTGGTCAAGTACCCGTACAGGACCACTTCTCTGGTCAGGGTTCTGAAATCTGTCACTGCCAGAAGGAGTCCATGTACTTTCTTTCACACTTCTCTGGCATATGGGCAGTTCCAGAAAAGGTGATTGATTGTTTCTGCCTGCCACCGGCAGGTTGGCCACAGGCAGTTCAATGGACCTCTCTGGCCTGCACTGTTTCTCCATGCTTGTACAGGGGCTGTCTACCAGTTTAGGTCTCTGTGCTCCTGCTGCAGGTCCTTGTGGAAGATTTCCTCCCACATGGCATGGCAGCTGTCACCAGGTAGCAAGTTCACGGGAATGGGTTTTGGTTCAGGAGCATTACCTTTTAGGTCATGCTGGTAGCTCCACAGTCCCTGGTTCAAGCAGTGGTGCCAATCCAAGAACTAGTAAGAGAGGTCAGGGTACCACTGAGGGTGCATGCTGATGTTTAGCACAACTGGTTACAGCTCTGAATTTTAATGGAATTTCAGGCCAATTCTCCCCAGTCTCATGCCTGTTTCAGCTGCAGTTTTCATCTCTCCGTTTCATTTTTCCTTTCTTCTGTTGGTTCTTTGCTTATGAGTATCCTGAGGGCCTGGAAACCAATTTGTTTTGCTTTTCCCTGCATGTCATTGCCCAGGTTTGCTTCCATTATCATGTCAGACAACATCCACATAAAAACAACACAGGTTCCCTTGCCATGGATTTAGGCGGGGCAAGAAAGGGGAGGAAGTAGTTAAGGTCTTTTAGAACTGAGCATTCCCACACAGTGGAAATTCCCTGATGCTCAGAGGTGTGCTTTACTCTCACTAATGAAGAAGGAGGATGCTGGAAACAGTCTCACCTCCTGTCTGCTTCCCTCCTTCTACGTACGGCAGCAGTCCCAGCTTAGATCTCAAGAAAAAGTAAAGCAGATATGACACTGACCCACGTACTATCCCAAAGGCACAAGGACAACAGTAGCTTGCCCCCAAGCTGCCTGGTGCACACACTGCTATCTCTGTCATCCGTTAGTCACAGCACACATTTTTCCTTTTCAAAACAGCCTAAGCATATGTCCCACTGTGCATTCTGCCTGGGACCCTGCCTTGCCAGCCTGGTTTACAGAGCAGAGCATCTGTGCTCATCCACCAAGTACAGGCCAAAGCATATATGACTACAGAGTTGGTGAAAGGCCTGGGAGAGGACTCAGCCATTGTAGCCCTGTAGCCAGAAGAACATGTGGCAAGAAGAACTTAAGAATAACATGTGGAGTAGTCCTGCAGCACACCTCTGTAGCCCCACACACTGTGGAAGGGGAGGCGTCAGGCACTGCATGTAGCAGTCTGCGCCCTGGATACAATGCTTGCATGGTACATCATTTTCCCTGTGTACTGTCTGTCCTTCTAGAGATCAAGCTGTTCAGGGCCAGGATAGCCTCATTGTATATGTAAAGCACCTAGCACTGGCAATGCTAATGAGAACTGTGCACGCACGCACAGAGCTCTGTTCAAAGAGTGGTGTTAAAGCTGCTAAGTCGAGCATGCAGGAGGTAGGAAATGACAGACTCCTGGTTGCCACTTTCCTCTCATCCCTTCATCTTAGTATTTCCAGCCTGAGGCAGGCATCATCATGGCCAGCTGCAGACTGAATATTCAAATATTGGCCACTATAAGCAACTCAAAACAGAAGCAGCAATGGCTGCTACTACAGCCCATATCCCAGTGCCCCCACCCCAAGCTGAGCGAATTTTACTTTTCTCTGCCCTCATGCACTTTACCCACATAAAAGGCCACTGAACTGAACTCCCCTATCAGTGGCACAGCATTAAATGAGATCAAAACAGCCAATTCCTCATGGCTAATGGCATTATGGTGTCTTGCTCCTGCCACACTAGTCAGGGCCAGTCTTTGCTAGATGTATATCACCCCCTGCCTGGGGTCTGGTGAGAGAAGCCAATTCCTCATAATGACATTGGGGCCTGGTGAGAGAAGTCAATTCCTCATAATGACATTAGCAGGTTTGTTTCTGTGTTGAAAACATGACCGTTGCAGGAGCCTGAAGTATTAAGATAGTGCTTACAGGGCAGTTGGATTAACGTGTTTTCTTTTTTTGTTGTTGTTGTTCAGCCTACAGCTGAGGAGCCTCTGACTTCCTCCTCTTTCAACAGGAGCCAAATCTACATTGTTCAAGAAGTACCATCAACACTGCCTGCAAAAGATCCTTCAGATCCAGTGGGAAGACAGGCTTACTAACATTACCATCCTCTTGCAAGAAAATACCATGAGCATCAAGGCAATGATCATCTGACATCATCTTCACTGACCCGGTCACATCACTCCAGACTCTGGAAGCAAGTTGTTTTCTCCCAGCTCCATCAAGGTGTACACTCAAGAGGAGGGCAGAGAAAGTGTTTCAAGGACGTCCTCAAGCCCAGCTTGAAAAAATGCAATATCAATATCAACTCGCGGGAGACTATCACCCAGGAGTACCCCAAATAGAAGAAGAGTCCGCTGCAGGGATCTCAGTAGTCTGAAACCTCAGATGACAACAGGAGATGGAAAAGCAGGAGCAGCAGAAACAGCGTTGTGGACCGAATCTAGAATCTGGAACCACCGACCCTGAACAGAAATGTGTGAGAGTTGCAGCAGTGTCTGTTGAGCATGGATCAGTCTCATAAGCCATCTTCGAACCCACAGATAAGACAATCATGGCAGATAATCATTCTCCACTGTGAGGGACTGCTGAAGAAGAAGAAACCAGAGTGGGGAAGCCTTGTGATATAGCAGAGTTTCACTGGAGCTCTCTAGCCTGGAGACATGGTTCCAGACCCAGCCTGGGTTCCACCACTCTCCGTGCTGATCTGAATGCCTTCTCCCACCTCTCCCTGATTCAGGATTCCTTTCCCCCTCAGCCTATTTCAGCTCACAGAAGTCTCCATGACTGTGCTGGGCTAAACAAGGCAGTGTTGTGTTCAGCACCATTTTCATCACAGGATAGACAACTTCTTAGCATGTCTGAGAAAAGCTCCCTGAAAGGTATCCTCAACCTTTCCCAGTGCTCAGCCAGAGTAAGGGCCTATCTAAAGCCCACTGAAGTAAATGGAGAAACTCCCATCACTCTCAACGAGCTCTCAGACAACCTTTAAGAGAATTCTCAGTCAAACTAAACTAGTCACGTAAGCAGTTCCTCTCCTTGCAGTGGGACTCAGATATCTGCCACCACATGCCACACTTCTATGTTGCCCTACCAGCTACCCGGATGAAGGGATGATGTAGGATTTCTTAAGAGGTCTTTAGGAAGGAAGGAAAACACATTATTCTACAGTAAAGGTGTTAAAATATTTTATAAAGGCTGTGAGGGGGTGGATTGATCTGACGTCATTTGTGGAAGCCCTGGAGAGCCCTGAGGTCCTAGTCACTTCTATTAAAGCAAAGGGAAGTGGCTCCTTCCTCTTGAAAGAAGCCAAGTGTCCTTTGCTGGAGGATTTGGGGGAGCAAAGACCTTCCACAGTGAAGCACAGATACCATAGCTGATGCTCACCTTTCCCATTCTTCATACAGGTACAATGTGCTCAATGCTCAGCTAAATAATGGACAATTGCTATAAAAGTACACTCCTACCACCTTCCAGCAGGGGGCAGCATCCCACAAGCTATTCTCAAGGGCTTGAGACAGCAACTCAAGTACCACACACACCCTTGACTCCCATCATAAAGGTGGTGGTGGCAACAGCCTGGTCACCTGCTGACAAATCAACCCTTGGGGATCCATGGATTGATGGATAGCTCCAGGGATGTGAATCTGAGTGAGGTACTGAGATGATTACTTAGCCTCATACTCCTACAGCTATTTTGGTCCCATGTGCACTGCCCTGCCAATAGTACCTAGCTCTGTGTATCCATCAGTCTCAAGTGGAGTCAGTCCCTGTGTCCCCACGTAATAAGTGGGAAACTGAGGTGATTTGGTGAAATAGGTGGGAAACTGAGGTGAGGAGGTGATTTGCCAAAGATCACACAGCACAGTACAGGTGATCCATATCTTCACCGTCCTAGGACCAGTATGCTACCCTTACTAGGTCACGCTGCCTGCCAATAGAGGATCCACAACACCCACCAGCTATGGTTGTTCTCAAGATCTTCCTTCAACAAGATGGCTTCAGTTTAAAAATTGAAATTTTGGGTGCTTTGGTGGGGCTGTTCCTTAAAGGCAAAACGTAGCAAAAAGTGCTGTTCCTTAAAGGCAACATCCAAATAAAATGTGGGCTGGTGTTGCTGCTGCCATCTCATGACTCCGCAATGATGTGAGCATAACCCTGAGCCTGACAGACTTTTCTCAGTAACTAAATGGGCTTCTTATAGAATATTGAGGCAGAATCAGCTACAAGACTGCCTATAGTCACCTGACTCATCATCAGTCCAAACCTTAGTCATAGTACTGAGTATTCCTTCCTTGGAACCATTTGGTTCTTCTTGACATAATGCAATATCTGCTCATTGTTGTAATGTGTCTCAGACAAGTATAAAGAAGCCATATGCTTCAATGGATTAAATAAAAAACCAGAAGATCTGAGGTATCCCAGAACATCATACACAAATGGGAATGTGGCAGTAAAACTAGAACACACAGGTTGTGTCTACATGACATGCTTCACTATACAATAGAGCTAATTACTGTGCAGTAAACATCTGCATCTGCATGTGCAGATGCTTACTGTGCAGTAATTGGCTGTAATTGCGAGTAAATTTGCTACCTGCAAATGCAAGTAGCAAATTTACTCATGATTAGTAACTGCGCAGTAGCACATGCTTAGACGCCTGACTGAAAGCAAATGTGCTCCTCGTCAGCAGGGGGCAGGAAATTGCTCCCTGCCCTTAGGAGCTGCTTGCTGCTGGATCGGGCTCCACCACTGGAGTCCAGGCGGAGACAATATCCCCCTGCCCCGGCAGCAGGGAGCTCCCAGCCCCTGCTCCACAGTCACGAGGTGGGGGCTGGGAAATCTTTACCTTCCAGCACCAGCTCTGCAGTCAGGGGGCCAGGATTGAGAGATGCTTATCTCCCAGCCTGAGTCTTGTGGTTGTGGGGCCATAGTTGGGAGATTCTTATCTCCCAGCCTGGGTCCTGCAACCATGGGGCTTGGGCTGGGAGATAAGGATCAGGTTCCACAGCCCAGGTTCCACAACTGCAGGGATCAACTGGGACATAAGGATCCCCCAGCCCCAGCCTCACTATCCCAGAGCAGGGATGGGGAGCTCTGTGCTACCAGGGCAGGGGGACATTGTCCCTGCCCAGGCTCTGGTACAGAGCCTGCCCTGGAAGCAGGCAGCTCCTTGGGGCAGGGAGCAATGTCCTGCCCCTGCCAGGAGACAATTGTCTCTTGTCCCCTGGACTAGCACCCAGGGGGAGCCTAAAGCTCCCTATGACTGCTGCAGGGGCTGGTTGCAAGGCCACAGGAAGCAGGAGCAGTTTGCACGTGTAGATACATGCCTGGGAGAGTTTACTCAAGTGTAAATTGCTCCCAGATTATTTGCACATGTAGATATGCCCAAAGTCACGTCCTTCTAGGAGGGGGATGTTGGACACTGGAAGAGAAAAGCAGAAAATTGTACTGCAGGCTCAAGCTCTGCCACTGTCTAGGAGAATCACCAATGAGTGCAGGGACACTGTGAAATCTCCACCTTCTCTTAACATTCTTCCTTGCCCAGAATCACAGAGCCCACTGGATCAGGGAAAGCTGCCCCTAGGATATAAAGAAATGAAGTGACTTATTCCAGGCTACAGCAGAAAACTAAGGCAGTGCCATCCCTAGAAACCAGCCCTCCCCTCTCCTGGCCCTGCACTTTAATTACAAGACTCTCCTTCTTTCTTCACAGTACCCTGCAAATAAGTAGCCCACCACAAAGTCAATTTAAGCATGGTTTGACCATTCAGCTATGAAGTTTTCTAGCTTTAGTTGGTTCCAGCATCTGACTTACTCACATTTTGTTATTTAATGCTCACTGTCAACTGTGCCAGCTCTTGCTTTTAAGGAAAAATGTTGACATCTGTTGTCAGCTAATAAAAAAAAGAAAAAGGTGGGGAAAAAGAGCGATTAGAGAAAAGTTAGAGAACAAGGTATTTTTAAAATGAACTTTTGTGTTGTGGGAAAACATGTGCCCCACGCAAAACCACCTACACACAACAATGAAACAGACACATTTATAGAGAACATATACTGCCTGGTGGCCCCTGATTTTAGAAACCATATGCCTACGCATAACATAACCCTGAAATGTAGCGGGGCGGAGGGGAGGGGGCAGATCCTCAATTGGTGTAAACTAACTTGGCCCTGTTCAAGTGAATGGAGCTACTTCATTTCTGCCAACTGAGGATCTGGTCCAGACAGACAATTTGTTGCCACATACAGGCAGAAAGCTGCTTTGCGGATCCAGTACCAGGCAGGCCCTTGGTGTGAATCAGTTCCACCCACTAGAAACAGTGTGGGAGGTAAAAGAAAATAGTTCCATCAGCCACGGCTATATAGGCCAGTTAGGCCATCATGACAAGACCAAACTAATCATCTTAAAGGATCTTTGGAGGAGGAGAATGGGACTAGATAGGTATGGAGCATGTTTGGCAAGGAGAGGGAGAGACCTTTGCATTTGGAGTTCATCTAAGTGAACCATAAACTTTCCTAATGGGAATATGCACACATTTGCCAGTGGGCAGGCACTAAGCCAGCCTACAAACTCATGAGGCTTCCTCTAAATATAGAGTGCAGAAAGCACTCAGGTGGTTCCAGGCACAGTCACTGAGAACTGCTGCCTGCTGGATCATGAGTCAACATCTCACACCTCCTTGTTGACACAAGCTGTTGATGGCAGTAAACCCACAAAGAATGTCAGATGTCCAGTCCAAAGTGTGGTGAAGTCAACATCTTTTCATTGGCATCAGTAGGCTTTGGACCAGGGCCTAAATGGGTACAGATATACAGTGGAAGAGAGATGGACAACACAATACAGTGTCCCAATGGTTCCATTATGCAAATAAACAGGATCGGGGAGAGTGGGCAGATGAGCAGGGGTGTGCGTTTGCAGTGGCACAAATACTAGCGGCACAAATTTTTGCCACTACTTTGTGCCTCTGTGCACACCCCTGCACCTGTGCTTTGTTGCAGGACACATTGTCCCACTTTAAGCAAACTTCCCTTACCCAGCACGCTCCCAGCGTGCTGGAGTAGCTGGGGCACAAATGGAGCAGTAGAGACACTCTGGCCAGCAGCCAGAGCATCTGCCTGGAAGACCAAGTCTCTGTTTGTTCTGGCGCACGCTATTTTCGCTTGCACCTTTTTTCTGGTGCTTTTTTTTGCTACTGGGAAATCCTGGTAGCAAAGGCAGGGAGCAGTAGCACATAGTTGTGCCATTGCTAGTTGTCCCTGGGGAGCAGCTGTGCATACATGCTCTGACACATGGCAGGTTGCCCTGGGTGGGGTAGGGGAGGCTGAGGCCAGCGCCTGAGCTGGCCACAGCAGCCATACCTAGGGTTCTGGGGGCCTCTAGGGACTCCAAAGATGGCAATCTGGCATGTGGAGCCTGGCTAACAGCTGGAGCGTGGCTTCAGCTGGCCAGGCTTCCATTTTGGGCAGTGCACACTGCTGCCATGTGGGCAGCCCTGCTTTTTTCAGCCATGGGTTTTTTTGACACAGGGACCTCCTGGTGTCAAAAAAAACTGCCGCATTGCAAATAAGTGGTGCTGCAAATGCCTGCATGTGGTGCAGGGTTTGCAGCAGGGTCTGCAGTGCCATGTACTGCATGTGCACACTCACCTGGATGCACCCACAGACTGTAGTCCATAATCTTTCAGAGGGGGCTGCAGGAAGACGAGGAGACACCACCCTAGCAAGACAGGTGA